AGGTTGATCAGTATTTTAAAACAAATGTTTACGCAAGTAATATTTTTAAAACAACAAAAACATATTTCTGATTATTTACTGAAAGTATTTGATTAAACCCTTAGCACTATGTGGTGTTTGTGTGTTCCAGTTGAGAAGCATATTAAATTCTTTAAACACCGTACTACTTTTACATGAGAATTCTTAATAGATTTCAACTCCTTTCATAGCTGGGGAACGTATTTGAATCAAGCCTTTGAACCAAATCTGACTGAAGAAAAATCAAATTGGGTTTCAATGTGGCCCAGAGATGATTTTGGACATACCTATTTTAAGGTTTTGGGGTTTTATGGGACTTGTTGTTGTTATTGTTATTGTTGTTGTTTTTAAATTATCCTGACTTCAGTAAATAATTCCCAGCCGATATTCAACATTTTTTAGTTTGCTGGTAGTGTCATAGTATGGATATACGTGAATTGCTTTTTCTCTGTCTGGCCCCAAAGAATATTGCAGATAAAACGGGCCATTATGTTACTCAGGCACTAGGAAACGATGTAATAGCTAAAAGATAAGTTTAAACCTGCTGAGCACTTACCCAGTTTTTCTTCTTCTTTTTCTTGGAGTCAGCGTCATTACCACTGCCGATGCTTGAATGGCTTGTAGCACTGTTGATGCTGGAAACACTTTCGGAAGAATGTTGCCGTCTTATACGTAAATCTAAAGAAAAGAAAATGAGGTGAAATCTATCTGTCTCTTTCAGTGCAATACTCGTTCTTGTATTCATGTAGTATCTTCCTCCTCAAAGGCAGCCTAAATGAACATAAATGGCATTGATCCTTGCAGTGGCTTGGATTCCAGCTATTGCAGCCTGTGAGAAATCACACAGGGGTCAATGAGGATGTACACAACTACGATAATACTTAGGGGCTTCTCTAAACTGAGGTCTTACTGGCATGAAGGAGATGACCCCGCACAGCAATCCATGCAGGTGTAACATCATAGCTAAGCAGTTTCTGTTACAGATGGATTACTTGATTTATTACTAGCACATGTACCAGAGTTATTTTTCTGAGAAGTATAGGGAATACTCGACTTGTAGCAGGCCTAATCAGTGTACAAATGCTATCTTCTAATATACCATGATGGAAATAAGTAGGCAGGAGTTCATTAAAAATGAAAGAAACAAAATAGCCATGAAGTGGAGAATATTAGAAATGGTTGGTGAGGCTTTTGAGTTTCAATTTCTTATAAGTCTCTGATAACTATATCTTAATCACTGGAAAATATTCTTGCAGAACATACTCACTAATACCAAGGGAAATTACTTTTTAGGTTATTTTTTACTTCCTGGAAGTTAGCTTTGCTATACTCAAATCATGCAATGAAATGACCTTAGGACAAACATCTAAATAATGACCTCTTTAAAGAAAGATCAATGACACTCTCGAAAATGAATGTTGCTATTTTTTTTTTTCCTCAAGTGATTCCTTTGCTGTTGCTTACCAACCGGCACTTTTGAAGTATATATTTATCATGGGATGTCTGCCTAACTGCAATGAGAAATTAATTCAGAATTTAAAATGCCTAGTTTCCTGCACTGATTTAGCACCTCATGAAGGAGCTGAACTGTTGTCAGTCCATCTGTTAACAATGAGTACAGCAATTTTCAGAGCTATATCTTACACTGCATTTCCAAGGTATAACCATGTTTAGCTGTAAGACTTCACTAGTGTCTTGGGCACACTTCAATACACAACCACAGCAACGGGGTTGACTCTTGACAGCCAGTAATTGATTCCTGGCCACCCAGTTGTGAGAAGACAAGGCTCCAGGAACTATCTGTGGCAAACAGGAAGCACATGCAAGGTTTCCAGTTCTGGAAATACCACAAGTATGCCTATCATGCACTACAGAATGTGCTTGCTCTTGCAACAGAGTCCCCAAAATAACAGAAAAGTAGTGACTTAGCTTTTTTTCTGGGGAGAAACTCTGCATTTATTTTAATAGTGACAAGAACATACCTTTGTGGGTATGATCGGGACCGTTCAAGGCTCCTTGAATAGCAGCTTGTGCAGCAGAATTCTGGGCTTTCAGCATTTCAATGGTTTCCCTTAGCTCTATAAGCTCAGATTCCTGTGGGAAGAGCAAAGGGAGCCCAAAATATATGGCACAAGAACAATGTTTGTTTAAGCTAATAAAAAAATGACAAGAGTGGTCCAACTGAAGTTCATTGGACCTTCTGGGTGAACATAAGGTCAACAACTAAGTGGAACGCATATTTTCTCTCCAAAACTATTAAACTCAACATATTCCTTTGCATTTATTCTATATAAAGTGATCATGATATTTTTTAAGAAGAACAAAACATTTTTAATAAAGACTAATCTAAAAAGGCTCTCTATTGAATATTCATTATAAAGTTCAGAGAAACCCAATAATTTATTGTGAAAGGCAAGAAAACCATGTGAATTACATCCTTTAGTATGTGAGTCTACTGTTTAATGGATTAATATCAAGCTGATTTCATGTATTTTTCAAAAGAATTAACTTGCTAAACAATAATTCAATTTAAAAAACCCTATTTAATAGCAACTATCCTGTAAAATTACTCCACTTGAGTGCAAGAAGTTCTGCATTAGGATGCACAGCCAATTTTAATTAAAAAAAGAGCTTTTATTACTGCTGCATTAAACCTGTCCTTCATGCTTATTTTTATATAATGAGGATTAAAGGAATTTAACCTCAACAATAGAGAAAAGAAAAGAAAGAAAAGAACATGTTCTGAATCTTTGGGGAAAAAAAACCTTGGAGATGATCTGTTTCAATGTCACTGTTTAACCTCTTCCGAAAAGAAAACCTTCTGAGGAAAATTATACTTTGTAAAATAGTCAAAAATTTTAATCTTAAGAAAATTCCATTGTGGTTTATTTTGGTTAAGATGAAAAAAGCAAGCAATACAAATATTTTCTAACCAGTTCACAATGAGTCTCACCATATTTCATCTGTTGCTGCTCAATCAGACTGTGAAATGTTATTTTTATAGAGAGCTACACTGACTCCAGCGGCGACTAATAGCTCACCAATACAGTTTCTTTCAGTTTGGCTCAACAAGGCCTTCCTGTTTATGGAATACTGCTCAAAATGAATAAGGGCAGAAGTTCAATCCGGGAAGGTGCTAAACAGCCTCTTAATCCTGAGCTTGATACAAAGGCTCACATTAAATTTACTGCCTATCAGATTTAGACTTTTTTCCCCAATAGTCAAAACAGCATAGTGAAAACCAAAACTGTTGCCTCATGAATAGGATACCCAACCTGCATTAACGCTCTGGACGGAGTCATTTTTCTCTGCTTAAAGTTCTTCCCTTCCGATAATTCTGTTACGCTGCCAATGCTGGCAGGCTGGAATGAAGCACTCCAGCAGGTTATGACCAGTCTTTGTTACAGGATCTTTCAGTATGGATTAAACCTAGAGTCGCATATGTTTTAATTAAAATCTGGAAATGAAAGATTTTATCTTCAAACTATTCTATGATATTGTCTGGGTAAACCTGATGCTCCACAGTTTAATACTCCTGGAGCTTTGTGAAGATTTGATTGCAACGGTCATTAAAGAAAGATCTGTCTGTCACAGCTGTCCCAGTTTCCTTTCAGTGTTTTCTAAACAAAACTCTAATATAATCTGCTGACTGTTTTCCACATTAAAGCATCTGCTTTGGTAAACGTACCTTTTGTTCAGCTGTCATTGTTAGACTTTGCAATCGGCCGGTCATATTTCCCAAGCTTTTTTCAAAAGCTGCTACTAGATGAGCCTGTGAAAGAAACAGAAGACAACATTTGCCATGATGATGGGCCATTTTTCCCAGATACATTTGTTTTTTAAAAATATTTTTTCACTCCAAGCTCATCTACTCCAGCTCTTTTCTATTAGCTTTCAACTCAGACTGAGCTAACTTGAACAGATGAAGCAGCCAAGTAAGCCCAGCGTTCCTCAGGCTTCTTTAGCTCCCAAGATTAGCTGAGGTGTCTCTGCCTGGAAATGAATTATGGATTTAATGCCCTGCTTTGAGTTTACTGATACATTGGCCAAAAGAAGTCTGCTCCCAAATAGAAGTCCAGGAACAATTACTTTCAATTACTGAACACATCAACATGGAAATTGAAAAGTACTTTATCTTAAAAGGTAAGTTTTAACCTCGCAAACAAAACACTCCAGAGGAATTCTGAGAATCAAACAAAGAATTTCACAGTTAGTTTTATAAAAGATCATTACTTAGTCTATTCATCTTATATCGATTATACCTATGTGTGTTGTGTGTATAAAAGTAATTAAAAACTTATGTAAATATAATATTTATAAATGTGTGCAAATGTATATATAAAAGACAATCTTGAAAACCGGAAGTCTCACTTCTCGATAAGAAAAGCCATATAGTTGAAACTGGTTAAAAGGTTTAAAAAAATTAAACCTTCATTTTACTTCCTAACAACATTCACCCTATACTCTATGCAAGCAAAATTTATACAAAAAATACATCAACTCTTCATTGGTTCTAACTGCCATTGAGGTTTGTAGGCAAAGAAGGGCAAGTGGTCATAAAGAATCCAGCAAGCTAAGCTGGCTTGTAAAGCCAAAGGAAAGTAAGAACTTAATTTTTATGAAATTCATAGAATTTCATCCATTCCTCTCACAACACAAAACAGTAAAAGCAGAAGGAATTACTTATTTTCCCTTTACCATCTCAAAAGAGGTAATAGGCAAAGTTTTCAAACATAGGCACTACAACGCACTTGGAAATACAAGTCATAAACAACATATTTATATGCACAAATGGATTAACTGAACTTCCTCACAGAAAACTTATTTTTTATTACAGCAGTACAGGCACACACAGTGCCTGGCAAATTTTTCAGTTACAGATTTGCATGCCTGTACAAGCATAGTTGAAATGGTTCAAATGTATGTTGTGATACTGAATCTGAGGTAAAATCAGAGAAAGACATAGTCCAAAAAGGATTTTCTTATGCACATTAGGAGAAGGAAAAGAGCTTCTTGCCACCTTGCTCTGTATATTATTCCTCAAATAAAAAAAAGGTCATCATATATATAATAGTGGCCCACTTCTGTGTCTCCACTTCAGAGCTGTTATACTGACAAGTGGCTTTTATGTTTTATAAACAGTTTTGGACTGCTATAAACATTTCCGTATCTTGTAAACTCCTTATTTTATACTTATTGAGGTTATTACAAGTTTACTCCTTGTAAATTATATTATTAGTAAATAAATTTTTAATTACTTATGAGTGTAGTGGTCAACTCACCTGCTTTCTGCATCTACAGGGATGCTTTAGGAATAATTTTTTCGGTAAAGGATACGTACCCCAGGGACTAACTTTTGATAAACATGAGACTAGATACATACACAATTTCTTAAGGATTAATTAGTAATTGTGTATATTTCTATTTTAACATTTATAATTTAGGTTATATTCTTGAAGTTATAGCTTTAAATAAAATGAACCTGGAACATGTGTCAAATGCACCTCTGAAACATGTCAATCAATATGAAGTTATTCTAGCTAGTTTGGAAGCTACAGCCTTTGGTTGTTTTCGCTACTCTATTCCTCTGAGAAGATAAAAGTAACTAGTTTTTAAACTTACTTTTCATTGTAATAATTACCTACATATTAAAAATATGCAGACGCATTTATGGTGTTTTAATTCCAAAGATGATGACCACTTACCCAGAACACAACCAGAGACAAAGTAGATGCACTACCACAGAATTATAACCAAGTGCCTCTTCATTACATGTGTTTAACAGGAAACTAATGGAGCTCACTGCTCCCTGCCTCATAAAAAAATCTATAGCTTGGCTGATGGTCTACGGTTCTGCTTTACCATGAGAATAACAATGGGGACTGAGGGTTTGAAAAGAGGAATAATTTGCTTAATTATGCATTGCTTTTTTCCGTTTCTCACAATTAAGACTGTGATAACCACAGTTCTTTGGTACCTAACTATGCATTTTTTGTGCAAAGTATTTTCCTATTCCATAGCTACAACTTCAGCTTGTATTTTGCATGACTAAACCACAAGCAACATACAGGAAAAATCAAGGAGCTCATAAGAAAAATTAAGAACTAGAAAGCATACTTAAAAATGTCATCAAAGGTCACTGAAACTATTAAATTATTGTCTGACAGTCTTTAGAGAAAGACAACCATGTCACACCTATGGATTCTTACTAGCGTTCAGCCTGTGATAGACTACATTACCTTCTTGGAGTAGTGCACTAAAATTTTTGCATCATAAATGTAATTGAATCAAGATGATGGATCTTCCTACTAATTTGAGATAAAGACTATCAGGTCTTGATTTGTTAGTTATAAAGAAACATAATTCAAAAGCCCACTACTGGAAATGATTCAAGAAAAAAAACTTCAATCGCATTGTTCATTACAGAATATTTTTATTACAGAAGAATACTCTTCTCTGAAACACAGTGTTAATTTTACATTCAGAGTAATAAACTGTGCTGCTTTGTGGTAGTAAATGTTTATTTATTGAGCAGTCTAAGGAACTTCTACTTGCTGAAATCTTATGCAGATTTGTCCTAAAAGAAATACTATGTAAAAAAGCAATAAAATTTAGCTTGAAAGAGGCTAGCTGATCAGTATATTTATATGTGTGTGGAAATATGTATAAAATACATGTATGTATATATTCAGAAACAAAACCAATTTAAACAAATACAAGAAACTGACTTTAAGAAAATGGTCATTAGAAACTAAAAATTCTAGTTAGAAACTTCGTTTACAAGTTTAAATTTGGTAATTGATTTTGACTGAATTCGCAATCCTCAGTTTCTGAGGATTATTTACTTTATCCAAAAGGATCCATTCTTTCATTCTCATAAAAATATTCAGGAGAAGCTTTTTTAAAGTTACAGCCAATCCCCCACACCATAGAAACATCTATGTTAGATTCGGTGGTGTCATTCATCAAATACATCATCTGGATACCATACAGCCTGAATGCTGTACGTGCTTTAAATAACACCTATTCTAAAGTAGGAATATACCTTCACAATCAAATGCAGCATTTGTACTTGTACATAGATATACTGGAGTCAGAGTTAAGTACCTGGGCATTACTGGAAGTATGCCTACAGCAAAATGTATCCATCTTTAACGTGATATACATATTAGACACATAGATGATGTACAGCTCTTAATCTGTAGATCCATCACATATGGATTACTTTTGAGTTCTGTTGGCATCTGAAATTCCCATTGGAAATAGTCAAATTGATATATGCTCAGGGAATGACTTCAGTGCTAAGATGACAGATTTGATTTTAAACATTTCCTTCTTAGTAAATGATCCCAGCCAGGCAACCCCCAAATACCTCAGCTTTTAGGCTTACAGCCCATCCTGAACATGACATTGGCATATCCAAAGACTATCGGCTGATGTACTTTACGATTTGACCTGCAGTGGTCTGGTTTAGAAAACAAAGGTAAATAAATAAATTTCCTCCCACCTGACACGGCTGAATGAAAGGAGGTGTCAGAGGCCAGAAGGGATCGGGCTGATTGCAAGAAGCGACTGTGCATCTGATGACCTTTTCTGTTCGCCGCCCGCTACTGTCTTCTTGTTTGGCTGTAGGATAGTGGTTCAGAGCTGGCCAAACAAGAGTATTAGCCAGCGAACCCCCTCCACTTTCTACTGGCATCCTGGGTCGACTACAGTTTGCAAGCATGCACCCTTCAGCTTTATACAGTACAAAGCACTGATCAAAGACTCTTCGAACAGGCTGGGTTCAGGCTGCTCGCTGGAATTTGAGCCCTTGTCAGTCACGTAGGAAGTCTGCTGGTTGGACACTTTCTACACTGAAAACAGGCCCTTTCTTAATTAGTATTGAGGTTTGCCCCTCAGCGACATCGAAACAGGCACCAGGGGAAGAGCCAGAATCTCAGAAAAAAACCTGTAAATTAAGCATCCAAACAACAGCTGGGCCCTGCTTGAATTTAATCATAGGCAGGCAAAACACTTTGGGGTTAATCAAATGAACTAAACTGCTCAAATCAAGCATAGTACTTGAGTCCAGCCAACAAAACCTGAATAATAAATGAAACCAAGTAAAATAAGTCTTAGCAGAGGTTTCCAAAATGCCTGAGAAATGCTATAACTTCCACTTGATAGATTTTGATATGAAATGATATCTCAAACAAAGGCTTAATGAAATAGGTCAAATTTCAGCCTGACAGTCTTTTAATGACACATGTACTACTGTCACCAACAGTCTTTTGTGGTGAACCAAAGACAGACACAAATATTGTTGAAATGCGATTAATAAGATGCTCTTTTCTTCACTTGCACACAGCACTCTACAAAGGGAGATGGTAACAACAAATTCAAGCCTGAGATGAACTGTAAGGGAACAAGATTTCTGGCTATTAATAGTTTCCTTCTCCAGACTAGAGAGAAAAAAAGTGCTGCCTGTTTTCAGACACCGAAAGTAGGGAAATTTGAAGGAGTTTAGGACTAAGGCAGAGATGATTCTGTTTATAGGGACTAAGGCTGAGACGATTCCATTTATAGCAAAGGCATCAGAAAGGACTGAGTAATTTTCTGGTCAGCAAAGGCACCATAGAAGATGCTCTGTTCGTACAATTCTCTGCCTGCCAGAGATGCATGTAGCTACAGGAGAGATACGCAGAGTGACCAAACTTTTTTTCTGCATTAGACTTACTGCTCATTTAGGTTTTAGCCTACTGGAGTACAAATGTGACTCAAAATGAGGGTCACAGTATCCATTTAGAGAGTAAAATACAGTTTTGATTTCTTCTCTGAGGACAAATTTCAGCTTTTGTGATTAGGACTATTTCTCCCTTAAACACCAGAGGCTGCTAAAGTATGTCTCTTAAATTAGAGGATAAATGATAGACAAATACATGCAAGTAAAGCATTGCTAAGACTGGGCAAGTTCATGAAAATTAGAAGCCCATTGGGGTCTGTAATAAGTTTGTCAAATTAAATAAAGTATTTGCTAGTTACTCTCATAATTTTTATGAAAAGTGTATAATCACTGGCATTTAAATATAAATTCTGTAATTAGACTAAATTTCAGAGGCCATATCACAATTAAAATGTCATATATACACATATATTTTCAAGTTGGATTTTATTCCTGATATTGAAGTGATACTTTCTAGAATTTATTTACATAAAGTGCTCAAAGGACTGACAGAATTAGTACTAACACATCTTTAAGAGGTCTCTTTTGATCCTTTCAATTTTGGTGGAAGTGGGGTTTTTCTAATGTTTTACATCTTCTGTACAAGACATAGCAGAGAAAGAACTCAGAACGAGACTTATTGTGAAATACTTCTCTATTTTTGGTTTTGTAAAGTATATATCTCATTACAATATCCAAAAAAATATTTACTTATCATAACTAGTAATATCTACTTTTCTTTTAAGATTGTTTTCATTGTAAAAGTGTTTAAAGCCCTTGTTCATGCCTGGAGAATTCGAAGCCTCCAAGCTTGATGCTCTTGACAAGTTTAATTTTGAGGGAATTTCCACATGTTGGGGATTTGGAAAAAGGAAAGATTTCTCTGGTATCATTTAAAAACCCCATGTGCTAAAAGGATCAGCTTTAGGGTTGCTTATAGGTTTAGAGTTTAAAGACTGTCTCCATGGAGACGGATTAGAAGGTGGGTGACACAGGCAAAAGAACATGATTAAATTAACCTTTATACAATATGGAGCGTCTGTGCACACATATATACACATACAAGCACATGCAGGTTTACAAATGTGGTACTTTTGGATAGGCAAAACCAGGTGCACATGTATTTTTAACTGTCCTGTTGAAAATGTTACTTCTTCAATTAGATCAGTAGGAACGCTATAGGCATTCTTACTAGGAGTTCAGAAGTCCAGAGGCAGTACATGACACCGGATCCCAAATCAACAAAACACAAGTTAAAACAGATCAAACCCAATTTATTTCTCACTCATGCAGCTAAATTAGTTTGAATGAAAATCAAGCCAAAATGTGACTATCTATGTTTAGTTTGACTCAGTTTCTTCAGAAAGAAGAAAGTTAAAATTTTCAGAAACTGAGAAAATTCCAAAAGAATTCTTCATTCAGAAGAATGTTGATAGTGCACTGATGTTTATAGTTGGCACTGAGACGTCAAGGACTTTTCAGCTGCCGTGTTCTTGTCAGACAGGAGCACAACAGGCTGGGGGGAGCACGGCTGGGACAAAGGATCCACAACTGCCCTTATGATTTGAACTTAGATTTAGGATTGAGGCTAAATTGCCCAATGAAGTGTTCCATATCATGCAATGTCATGCCCAGTATATAGATGAAGGTTGACCAGAAAGAAGGGCTTTGGCTCTTCCAGGGGCTCTCATTCTCAGACTCTCAGAGTGCTATCACTCTCTCATTCTCTTTTTGGGCTTCTCACTCGTCTGGGATTGTGATGTCAGGACTTATCTGTTTCAGGATTGTTAGCCGGGATGAGAGGCCTTGGTCACCATGGGGTGAACAATTACACTGTGCATCGCTTGTTTGCATATATTATTATCATTATACATATTCATTTATTATTATTGTTATTGTTACTGTTATTATTATCAAATTGTTCTTATCTCAACCCACGGGTCTCCTTCCCTTTTCCCCTTTAATTCTCTTCCCCATCCCTTGGGGGTGGAGGAGGGTTAGCAAGCGGCTGTGTGATGTTTAGTTGCCGGCTGGGCTAAACCTCAACAGTGGGCATTAACAGGGCATTTAGAGTGGATGTGGGATGTCTGTGATTGTGCTATGTCACAAGCCCAGTCACAGTTCACCTCGCTGTGCTCCCCACTGCAAGGTAGAGCTGCTGCAGCCCAGTGTTTCTGGTGGAAAGAAAAGTGCCCTGCAGAGAACAACACACTTGTTAGGAAACACGACTACCCGAGCCATGCTGGCTTAGCTCTTCTGACATCTTGTTGTCGGTTTTAGTTTGTTGCTCTCAGGATGGATAAGTGAAGAATTGCCCAATCTGGCAAAGATGAAGATCAGTGTCTAAAATACACAAGAGATGGAACCCCATACCAAAAAAAGACATGCTGGATATAAATTCCTGAATTAATAACTCAACCCAGAATCCAGCTTTTGAATTTATGAACACTGCAGGACTTCATCTATTGCAGGATATAATATTGTCTGCTTCACTAGTTTATTCTCAGAACTCAGGACAAACTGGCAATCCATACTGCTACAGGGGTACAACCAACCACAGATGTTCTGCAGTCACCTGAACAGAGCAGAAAGTGCTAAGAGCAGCTCTTCTACATTTTCACATGTGGCAGTCCTAAGAGAACAAGCAGCTTTCACACTAGAGATTATTTCCCACAATGTGAACACAGTACTACTTCACCAACTGAAATAATTTATTGAAAATAATGGCAGAATTTATAGATCTAAATACTCAGTACATCTGCATTTTGAAGAAAGGTAATCTGTAGGTTGCCCAACACAGCAAAAAACTGCTTTCTTGAAATGCAAAATGATACTCTCTTGCAACTGCATCTCAGCTTTCCTTGGGAATGGTAACTATAGTTATATCCTGAATTGCATTTGAAAACCATTCTACAACAGATTGTTCAGTAACTGTCCAGTAACTTCATCTGAAACCATAGTAACCAGACAGGATTGCAGCTCACATTCCCTATCTGGCACTATTTTCTGATAACATGTTCAATAACTTATATTATCAGTGTATGAAAATTGGAAAGAACATCAGAGAGCTATCTGTGAAACAGCCCACTATCTGTTAGTTACATATCAGCATAGTTATCACAGCATATGAATCCTATATACAATTATATACTGTGCTTCCCTCCACATCTATCTGCGTTTTGCAGGGTTTATCTTTGTGAAATAAGACTACGATGAATTCTATCAGAATCTGCAATTCATGCCCTTTCTTTGGTTGTGTCTCCTTACTTTTGGGCTTTTTTTTAATTGATTCTGAGGAAAGAGCGAAACTGAACTGGATGGGACTGTTGTCACACCCAAAGTGTGGAAACTCTCATTTTGATTTCCACTGTGTTTAAATACAAGATTTCTTCTTCTTGAAGCTGATGCAATATGGACATTCAATGAAATAATTAATTTGAAAAACACCAAAATAAATAAACAAACAGTCAAAGTCTCCCAGATCATATGTTGCTACTTGAATTGAGTAAGAGCTATTAGCCAGTCTGATAATGTATTCTCTGATATCATTTATGACCACAAGCAAAAAATACTCACATTTGCTGAAAGTTGAGATGTGAGTGTAGCAACTTTCTCTTGTGATGCAACCAGCTCTCTCCGTAGTTTCTGAATTTGCTAGAAGAAAAAAAAGACTGCTGTCAGTATTTCAGCAGTTTCCTTTTGTTGGTTTTGGTTTGGTTTGGTTTGGTTTGGTTTGGTTTGGTTTGGTTTTCTTTGGTTTGGTTTTCTTAAGGGATCACTAATAGGTTTACAAAGTCTTAATTTCACAGTTTAATCTCAGAACTATTCAGAAATACAAATTATTAAAAGTTGGCACTTAGTGCTGCCCCAACAGCTCTCTTGCGCTGAGTGTATGAGCCGGGATCCCAGTTAAGGGAGCACCTATGGGCAAATGCTTAATTACTTCATATGTCATATGTAAATTTGTTTTTTTTACCAAATCCCATAGGTTCCAAACCTATCCTTAGTGCAATCAATGATAGCAGCCCTGGATGAGGCCTGAGATTATCAAATACAACAGAATCTGAGTGAGGTTCTCTTTCCTTGACTGTAGAAGTGATGCATCCGACATATGTTAAATGGCTACCTTAGACTTAGATGAAGTGCCAAAAAGTACTTCCCCACTGCCTGGCAGGAAGAAAGCTTCTGTGACTACCTCAGACACAGATTTTTGCTTCATGGTTGTCTAAAGTTAGATGAAGTACAGTAACATATTTTTTTTTTTCTCTTACATAGTACTTCCTACAGTCCCTATGATTCAAACATGCAGCCACTTTAAATCTTATACATAAACTTGCTTGCCAGTTTAAAAAAATGTAGCTTGAAATGTGCCTGTTGATATAAAAATAAACTTAACTCAAGGTTCCTGCATCCTTTCATGAAAAACTGAATCTTTAAGAAAAGTATCTGTTTACATTTCAGCTAGGATACATGTCTAGCATGAAGCTTGCGCATCATTTTAAGCTCATTTAACACTATTTGAGATCTCACAGGGACTCCAGGCATTGCACTGAACTTAAGCACAGCATGGAATTTCACTTTGAAACCCCTTTCATATTCAGACATAAAAGAAATTATTTCAGACTAGAGAAGTAAAATGTCTAAAACTAGCCTAGGAAAGGGACCATTCGCTAGTGAAGACTATTCCACTACTTTAACTTTATGACTCCCATGAAAACCAACAGAGAATATTGCATAAGATTTAAGTATGGACAAGTTCCTGTACATATATGACACAAAAATAGCTAGGTCATTTACACTGGCTTAGAGCAAGAGAGACAGATTATAGAGCCAGTGTGAACGATCTAGCTATTTTTGTTCTCTGTCCTGGACTGTCACTTTTCTTTTTCTAAGTTTTCTCTTTGGTTTTCAATACCAATTATTTGACCTTCCTGCTTAAACTACACTTTCATCATGTTCCTGCAACAATACAAAAGCAGTTCTCATGAAGCACTCTTCAACATCTTCCGCAAGAGCATCACAGAACAGACCTAGACACTGAGAAAACATCATGGAGAAATATATGGGAAAGAAATGTTGTTTCACCTCTATATACAGCCCTGAATAAAGGGCAATGAAATGAGGAATTACCATTTACACTGCTGAGCTATGGCATGCTTCTTTAGGTCCTTTGCTTCTACTTTCAGAGAAAGCAGCTCAAAAAATTCAGGTAAAAATTATATTGAAATATACTGTGGCAAGTAAGGAAGAATATGTTTATTTGTTCAACTTCCTCAAAATATCTTTGAGTTGACTTTTCTCTGATTAGAGTAGTAAAAACAGGAGCAGCTTAAATGCAGGTGTTGGAAGACATGTAGCTCTGTGAAGTGGAAGTGCACCCCTTGGTGCTGCATTTTATTGCTGCTACTCCTTGGTGCCCTTTTAATACAACCAGGACTTCATTTTGAGAAAGGCTGTAATTGTATCCAGCTGCTGACCTGGTCTTGTCACCCATTCTTATACACTGTGAGGAGAAAGAGGCTGTTTTCCACGTCAGATTTGATTTATATCTGAAATCAATCTGTGTTGCTCCGAAACCCATCAAAGTGATCAGTTTCAGAAATTTAATATAATGCAAAATGGAAGGGAGAGAAGTTCAAAGTGAACATTTGAAGTATTTTTTCTCCCTTAAAGCAGCACATTACCTAGAATTGCACAGTCCCTTAGATTCAGTACAGAGTGGTATTAAGTCTGAAATCAGACTTATCACAACTCCTCCACTCAGAAGCCCAATTCTCATCAATTCTTTTCACCTTTTCAGAACCTCAGCCAGGAGGCATTCTTCAGCACGATGCTGAGAAAACACCTTCTAGTGCCCTAGAAGCCACATCGGTTCTTTATCAATCCTTCTCAAAGAGCGCAACAATGACACAGGGTGTCTTTTCCCCAGCGTCTCAGCAGTTCAGCCACAGGAGAGAAACAATAACCTTTAAAATAACATAAGACAATACACAGCTATAGAAATGAAGAACAGTTTTTACCTCTGAATGTGCCTTTTCTTCTGCCTGGAAGAAAACAAAGAAGAAATGGCTTAGAAGCAGTCTGCAACATAATTGTGGTAATAGAAGCCAGCTACACTGAAGTGAAATGAATAGTTTCACGGATCCATTACATTTAAGGAAGGTATGCAGTAAAAACAATAAATGGAATTCTTTTCAACTCACTTGGCAAGGCTCCAGACGAAACTCCAAAGAGTTTGCCAGCATACTGACAACATGAAATAGTGGATAAAGGGAAAAGAGGAACAGAACTGCAGAAATTGCAGCTACATTTCTAAGATGCAAAAGAAAATTTGCTATGCTGTCACTGCACGGATCTTAGTCGGTTACCAGCAAACTTTTACGCCGTGATGATTATTATGCCTCCCAGAATATTTGCTTTATTTTATACCTAGCAATATTCCTAATAGCCTAATCCTTGCTAAGAGAATTTGGCAGAATACCAGTAAAGCATATATGGGGGAAGGTGAGGGAAGAGGAGTATTTGCACTTTAAAGTAATTTCTTCTATACAGAGTACTGACCAAAATAGTGAGGGCTATCAAGGCATGCTAAAGTTTCAGATTAAACTTGGTAATAGTATTTAATAATTTTAGATATTTTCCATATTATTATGTATTGTGTCATATAATTATGTTATTTACTCAGCAGTCTTTATCAAAAAGCTAAGAAACTAAATAATTGCAAAGCAAACTTTTGAAAGTCATTACATTTGTAAGCATGGGAGCAGTCTAATTTAGGAGGCATTTGGTGGACAGAAAAATCTTGCTTCAGTGGGATTCTAGTGGAAAGCAATGGCATGCCATGAGAGAGGAACCCTTTTGTAACATAAAATAAGAATCAGTTAATGTACTGGAAATCAATCCCTCCCATGATCTGAGGTGGCCCAAGTTCAGAGAAGCAGTCTAATATTGTCTGGAAGAGAAGTAAGCAGTAAAAGGAAAATGTGAGTAGAAGAATTAGCTATGAATAACACCAGAAAGGCTACAAAAACCCACAGTAAGAGTTCCTCAGAAGATTCCCTGACATCAGGCAGTATCTGTGTTATTACAAATTAATACAGCTGCTTTTTAAAGCCTGTATTAAGCACAAGTTTTGTGCTGTTAGAATTTTAATAATTTATTATAGAAATGTTTTCTTCACCTAGTGTAGGGGGAGGAGACTTTTAGAAAATGCCTCTTTCCATACATGCTTATCTGTTAATAGTCACTAAAAAGGGTACGATGCTGATATTTCCCTGTGCAAAATGTAGAACTGCCCTTGGTACCGTAATACCTGACACATCACTGCATGGGAATGACTTAGTGTAATGATTGTTTTACTTGCCAGCTCTGGTGGAACATACATACTGATAATAACTTCCTGATCTATGTTCGCAAAAAGGAGATCTGCCTACAGAAAATAATGAAAATCTGTTTTCATTATTGTCACTTCAACATCAATGGATCAAGAAAGACCATGCCCCCTTATGAATTCTACTGTGTCAAGGAAAGCCAAAAAAAAAAAAAAAAAGCTAGGGTCAGTGACATTTTCCTGAAAATGCCCTATGGGGATGTGGTCCCTTGTCCTTAGGCCACTGGCTCCCGCTGATGAAGGCAGTGCTACATGTTGTTACCAGATGACTCCCTCACTGTACAAGCGTTGCCTCTATCCCAGAGTTCAGAGAGGTGGCTCCCACAAATCAACTTTTGTGGGCAGTGGAAGAAGTCAACGAAAGAGAAAGAACAGGATTCTGGGCAGACTATCGACTTAAAAAATAAAATTTGACAACCAAATACGTCTGAGTAGTTTTCAGTTAAAAGTTCATGCTGCCACCATTGTAACCCAGAACTCAGCTCTTGGTTCAAAAGGCTCTAAAGGAAATAATTTATTTCTCCCTCTACTTCTCCATCATATCCATGCATCCCACCCTTGTAAGGATTATTTTTTTCCTTTTTTTTGAAGACTTAAAATATTAACATACAAATGACATGTCCTTTCACATCTCCTTTGAGCTTGGCTAAGCACAGTTAATGAAGTCTAGGGATTCTAAGTGCAGTCGATGCTGAGAACCAGTGCAAGAAATACCGCAATTAACTAAATATATGCAAATTACAGTGTCTCACCTACTGAGCAGGAAGAGATTAAAATTGGAGACAACCTATCATAATTTACACTATCACACATCTTTTTCAACTTTTCAGAGAGATAAATACATTCACTGCCAAAACTGAATCAGTATTTCGATTGCACAGTCATCTACTAAGTCTGCTTACATGGCATACTTTTCTGTGAAACCAAATTGTTGTCTCTGTACATGCATATCTTTACAAACTAGGTTTCCAATCTATTCAATAAAGTTCTGAGAATCCAAATGCAAACTCAGAAGGAAGCCAATACATACAGAAAATACTAGTAAACACAGAACTTCTGTTTCTTTGGACTTATTAATTTCAATAGCAGCAAATATGAAATGCTTCTTCTGAATCTTGTATTCTAATTCTCAAAGAAACAATTTTCAGATAATAACTTCAAGCTTTTCAGCTATCCTTTGGTAATAATACATAAAGATCTTGATCTTTATATAGTACTTTGTCTGAATCTCTCCAGTGATTAGGCTGCAGAAACACACTAGCACCAAGGCTTAAGGCAGTGCTTGAGAAATCTGATAAACATATTTGATAGAGACACTTGTGGAAAGGCAGCTGCTTTGGAATTCCTGCTTAGTGATTTTAGCCTGCTTAAGTAAGGTAAAAAAGCTCTTGTACTCCTCCTTGAACCTCATGATTGCTGAAAGTGGGTTGCAAGTGCCATAACCCTGTGAAGCTGGAGGAAATGGGGCACTGCACTGTATGTATCATTGAACAATGAAACATTGTTCTTTGCTTTCAGCTGATGCGATACCAGTCGTCAGCCTTTCATGTTTCTATACTCCACTTGTGCATCGTCGTCCGATTAATTGCTGAAAAGTTTAAACTTTTTCCACATGATAAGAGGGATCAAGCAGAAGAAATTCTGATCAAAAATCATCCCTGAAGGTCACCCCTAGTAATTTTGTCATATTTATTCCTTTCTTGTCCTTTTCAGATTTTTCTCTAACTTCCATTATCTTGTTTACATAATCCATAACCTAAGGAGCAGGGGCTTAGATGCAATGTGAATTCACAGTCAGACGTTTGAGAAGATATTCATAGAATCATAGAACAGTTAGGGTTGGAAGGGACATCAAAGATCATCTAGTTCCAACTCCCCTGCCATGGGCAGGGAAATCCTCCACTACACCAGGTTGCCCAAAGCCTCATCCAACCTGGCATTGAACACTTTCAGGGATGGGGCATCCACAACTTCTCTGGGCAACCTGTTCCAGTACCTCACCACCCTCAATGTAAAGAATTTCTTTCTTATATCTAACCTAAATCTGCCCTCTTTCAGTTTAAATCCATTGCCCCTTGTCCTACCACTACACACCCTTTCCACTTACAGCATCAACCTGGGTGAACAGTTTAAAGTTTGCTTTGCAGGAAGAATATTGTTTTTTAATATCATACTGTTTAGGTAATATTTTCAACATGCTCTCCAATCTTGAATGATAGCAGGTTACATAAATAGAAAGTATTAGTAAACTCTTGTTACATTACACAACGTCAGAGCAGAGATATTTCAGACTTACTGACTGACCAGGTGCTGAAAGCATCTTGTGTCACTTTACAATTTGATTTTTACCATCTGTCAGTTTCATAACACTCTTCTAAAACTTGACATTAAAGCTTGAATTATTTTTCAATAATCGTATGTCCAATTATTTTGGACACCTCCTCCCATACAAACTGATCACAGCGTCTCATAGACAGGGAAATAGTAGTATTGATTTTTCCACTACCAAAACACAAGTGAGAAGCTTTGCTCTGAACGTTAGTCATACCTCATGTGCAGCCAGTCTGTATGTACATTCCACTCCCCCAAAATAATTCGGGACTGGTCTGGACTGGAATTGCTTGCAACTTGGTGCATAAGGCCTGGGCAAACCTAATGCATGCGTACTTCATGTTTTAGACATGCCCTTCTATAGACCTTTTTATGGTTAGAACAAGGAGAGGCACCGTTGTGGTAGACACTGTGCATGGATGCAACCTACTTTCCAAGCTAACACGAGTTTAGCTTTGAGATAGAGCTACCACACGGTACAAATGCATCAGACTGCATGGGCTCGGTATTCCCAGGCAAGAAATGGTGTTGGCTCTGGGTAGAGGAGTCTATGTCATTCCCAGGATGTCAGTTGACACTATGCAAGACTTTCATATGCTTATGGAGAGGAGACAGACTATTCATGAATGCATGGTATGAAAACAGGTGAGTTGCTCTCCCGTGAAAAAGGGCTACTACAGCATGTAATTGTAGTTAGCAAGTAGGTTGCAAAGCAGCTGTTGTGAATCATCAAGGGAATGTCCAAGCACGTTTAACTCCTCCCATATAGATGATTTCATGTTACTAGAACAATTGAAACAAGAAATGATTCAGAAGCTCTCAAAAAAGATACAGAAACAATAAGAGAGAGAAAAAAATCAAAACCAGATCTTCTGCTTGAGCTAGAATACAATTAGTACTTAATCAAATTGACTAAGATTAATCACCTTTTAAAGACACTCTTCGGAAGTAACATCTAAATTCTGTCATTTGCAACAAAGATCAGCAGACATTTAAACTGCAAATTGTATCATCTCCCTTACCCTGAAGCAATCTTGTGTTTTTCAAGAAATGTACCACAAACAGTGACACAACAAAAACACTTTGCAGATTGTGCAATTAGAAAACTAGCTGAAAACAAGCAAAACCACTCAAAATTATCAACTACAATAACATAAGGACCCTCCTTAAAGAGAGACTCCTAGACCATTACCTTCTTTTTAGCTTTCAAAAGCAGTTCTAAGAAAGTCACATAAAAAGATGAAAATAATTTATTGTAAAATAACATGATGGTAATACCAAAGTTGAAAATAAATGTTCCTGCTTTATTGCAGTACAATTTTAATCCTAAACCTCAAAGTATTGAAATTTTCAAGAACAATGAATAAGAACAGAGGCAGGCAGAATTTTTTTCTAAAACATCAATACTTACCGTAGAGTAGAGAGAAGATGTGCTGGAGACAAGTGATAATGAGGACCCATGTACTTCAAAAAGAGAAAAATAATATGAAATATTGATGAAAGCATAAAACTTCCCCCACGTAGCTCAATAACTAAACATCTTTTTAAAATGAGAGCCAATCTTTCATGAAGAGCAATTATGACCTATCAGTATAGAAAAGCTATTGATATTCTTTCCCGCACTTAAAAAGATGGTTCTATACAGAAAAAAACATTGTCCTATATATGAGGTAGGAGAACGAGCCAGTGAGATTCAGTATTACCAGCAAATCAAGCATGACTTCTGTTGTTTTGACAACAAATCACTTGATAAATTCACTCTTTAGAGAAATCAGAAATTGAGCTGTTTTTTCATCCTTCCAAAGCTGAGCAATGGATTTTTGTAACAGACTATGCTTTGCCAAACAGTTCACGTTCCCTGGGGTGGGCTCCCAGGCTTTGCTTAGCTGGTTTCTCCCCTCAGCACAATGTAGACCCGGGTATTTGTAGTCCATGTGAAAGGGTTACTGCAAGAAGTAACGCCATATTTCCACTAACCATCAGTAGAGTCAGACCCAGGAGCACTGAGTGAATGTTTCAGGACTTCAACTCAAAAAACGGGGTTCCTGACCTCTCTGAAAATGGTAACCGAAGACTAAACCAAAAAGAAAAAAAGCTCACTTTGCTTCTGATGACTCTTCTGAGGAAGGATACACCAACAGAGAATTTTAAAGATGATAATCATCTATTTCATTACTTCTTTTTATTTTTGTTTAAAAAAAATTTTGATCAATATTTATAATCTACCAGGGTTTGGTAAATACATTATTTTGCTTTAATAGCTACCTGGCATCCGCATGCCAAACTGACAATACAATAACACTGGGATTAGCCAAATAGACTTTAAATCTAGTTTTGTAACTGGACAAATATTTACAAAGATGTGGTATACTGACCATTGAAACCCTGTTGCTTTCAATCCATCTTTAGTTTTCAGACTCTGCTTTAAATCTCTCAGCTAAACTCTCATTCTGCTCTTGTACACAGTGGTTCTACCCATTACCTCACTTCTTTCACTATAACCTTCCTCAGATCTCCAATCTTAAATAAAACACATTTCGCCTTCCAACAGCATCATTTCACCTTAATCTCTAATGACTGTAAACTGCTGAAAACCGTTTATTATTGCTGCATTGACTTTCATTTACTCAAGTTGATCATGGTTATCCACTCCAGCTGGATATGAAACATGACCAATGAAAAAGCTTTCACCAAAGCCACTGGTGACCCATTACTGAAATTCTAGATTTAACACCTCTTTTTCTATGCATAAATTAATTGCCTTGTTTTCTCTATTATTCTTCCAGTGTTTCCTTTGGTAATTTCGTTCTTTAGCAAAGGGTCTGTAGTCACCTCTGTCCTTGAATTATGTGACCTGCTTCTGCGCAACCAGCCATCTTCTCTGCATTGACAACTCACAGCTTGATCTGCCCTGCACCCTACTGCTAGTATTACATACCCATACGTCTGCCTGACATATCATCTAAAATACAGAAGAAGGAATTGAAAAGTAAAAGTATTAGTTGTCTGTTATTTCATCTAGGACTTTTTTTCACTTTTTATCTCATAACTAAGAGCTTTGGGGATAGGGGAAGACTTTTTTATTTGCTTGTTATAAAGACCATTTATATTGTCATCACTTAGCAGTAAGCAAGATTGAGGGGATGATACTGTAGAATAAATCTCCATTAAATTTTAGTGGGTAGGTTTTTTTGGGGGGTGGGTTTTTTGTTGTTTGTTTGTTTTTGTTTTTTAATTAAAGAGTATGAGAACTTTGTGCTCATGAGAATTCTGCAAATAATCAGATTTACCAGAAATGTTAGGCAGAAGAAAATGTTACAGTGCATTTAATTAGGAGTTGCCAGATGCTCTGTGGTTAAAAAAGAACAAAAAAATAAAACCAAAACAAAAGTATTCCCCAAATTCCAGGTGTTGCACACAGCATTAAAGAAACCAGACCAGCAGTAATAATCTGCATAAACAAAGTAGAGAGGTCAGATTAAATAACAGAGTTTAAATACAGAAATTCACAGTGTTTGCTGTAGGAGGCTGTAGAAAGTAAAAAAGGGGAATGCTAAGTAGCACTGGCATTTGGAAAAGAGGAAACACAGGAGTAGGACTAAGAAAGCATAGAATCACGGTAGTCAAGGTATGCGCAGACGCTTCAAATTTAGAATCAAAAATAAGAAAATAATTTTCCAAGAATAGCTTCCTTTCCTCCAAAATTTCTGATAAAGGGTTTATGCACGTATGACATACACAATATTGCTTATTACTATGTGAAAAAATATCTTCCATTTTTTTAGGGTAAGGAAGCCCTGTGAGTCCAGCTCAACAGAATTAAAAAAAAAGCTTCACAAAATTATTTAAGTTTTTGTGTTGCAGAAGAAATATTTTAAAATTTTACTACAGTCCAGGGGCCTATTTTGGGGTCTGTTCACTGATCTAAATAGTAACTCAGTCTTACCTTCTTCCATGCTATCTCTGAATGAACCTGAATGACTAATCGCTCGTGGTCTCTCTTCTAAGGATGTAGCACTGCCACACAGTTGGGAGTCATCGTACAGATCAAACGAAGTGTCTTGTGCAGGGATGCTGTTTGAACGCATCATACTGGGTCCAGGAAGGTTAAACTGAGATAGGTTGGTTGGACTCACTGGAATACAAAGCTTTATTAATGAAGAACGCTTCCATTAAATGAATTTTAATTCTGCACAAAATTGTAATGTAGGACTAGTATGGTTAGGTGGAATTTATGCTGTTGAGAAAAAGAAAGGCTTTTATTCCTACAGACAAAACCACCACAAAAAGGTGAAGCAGATGATCTCCAAGGAGCTGCAGCTGGATGAGACTAATCCTGTAAAACGCATGGTAGCATGAACACTGGTGTCTGAATACACACATATTTGCTTTGACAGCCCAAGACAGAATTCAAAAGTTAAAAAGGAATAAGAAGTTGTAAGTATAGTTTATAAGCAGCTCGTCTAATAAATCTGTATCTGCACTTTATTGTTATATACCTATATTAGCTACTGCCGTTAAGAAAGTTTACTGGCATATGAAAGACATTTATCCTTTGATTTTATATAGCACCTACTACTACTATATTAGGTTGAAATTCCTGCACAGGCCAGTTGAATCTCATTATAATAAATAGAAGTAGTCCGATCATGGCTGAAATACAGAACAGTGTTAATGAACCTACTTTAAGCTTTTGCAAAGTTTGCTTGTGAGTAGGAAGGAAAGTCTGGTTATGGTTCACCTGTACCACACGAACTCAATGCCTAGAAGAAAAAGCTAATTGTCTATCCAAAATCAGTCTCAGTGTTTAGACTTTTGTTTTAGATTGTGCAAGATGTGCCTTAAGTCATAAACTACCAGAGCATCTGTGCTGTGAGAGTAAATTATTCCATAGGGTTATGATAATAGAAAGAAGCAAAGGACAATGACAAAATAAATTTTAAAAAACCCTGATCTTATTGCTCTCTGTTGTGAATATAAGAACTGTGAAGAAAAATAAGGTAATTGTAAGCAGAAAATGATAGAGTGAAAAAAAACACTGCATAAAAAGAGCTGTGTCTAAAACTACTGTAAGTACATGGAGGAAATCCAGAGCAGTGGCTCACTTTGCCAGGATCCAATTTCGTTTTTAAAAGTGGCTTTGTTCAATTTATTTTCCCATATGCAATAAAGACCAACATTTACATGTCTGATCAAATTTCTTTTGAGTGATTGTAACCTACAGATGCCATAAGCTTTGACAGAGTGACTGAAGTGTGAATGCTTCAAAAGTTGCTGCTAATTCCACAGTAAGGGCCTAAAACACAAAAGCTCATTGTGAACCTAGGTGTGTGTCCAGTGCGGTGCAAATAAATGCTTTTCTATTAAACGTTAGAGAAAAAATAAAATTATTAACAAAACTGAATATATGTTGAATTAACTTGAAACAAGATCCAGAAGAACCAAATCTAAATCTTGACCTGTAATCAAACAAATCTGAAATGCGACTCACATCCCAAAATATTATATTGCATTCAAAGTTAGGATATGGTTTGGGCCCAGTGCAGTTACAGCCAAATCCAGCCACTGAAATAGCTGGAAAGGTCTATTTCAAAGCAAACCTGTATACAGGAAAAAAGCAATGTTTAGTGCCTGGGTTGACATTCACTAAAATGACTGGAAAAAAATCCTACTGAATGTGAATCCTATAAGATGAGTAGCTTCGAACTAGAAGCTAATTTCCAGTTCTGTCTCAGATTTTTTTCTCCTTGGGCAAATCATAGACAATCTGTGCTTTTTTTCTGTACCCAAAATAGAAGGTACCCTGGCCTACTCCAAGAATAATATCGTGAGTTTCCCTTCAGTAGTGAGGTACCACAATATGGTGATGGAGATATTCAAATAAACTATCATCTAGTCTGGCAAACTAAGAAATATGAATGGTTGAATTTTATGATTCTATTCTAGAGTGGGAGAAACAGTGAAGGGAAATGGCATTTACCCAGGTTGGAAAAGTGATATTTTCCAGTTGCAGATGAAGACATAGCTGAAGGAGAAACAAGCGGGGACTGACTGCCAGTGTCTTGCAGGCCTCCAGTTGAATGGGACCGCAGCCATTCCTTGCCTTCCTCCTGACTCGTCTGCCGGGATGACGGAGTATATCTGAAAAACCACAGCTGACATGCTCAAAACGACAACAAGGCGACAGTTTGGAAAGAAACAAGTGTCACATAAATATTCTTCTACCAGTTAGATAGAACAAAACCCTTGGAAAGCATCAAGTCTAGTCAAGTGATTATCACCAGGGATTTTAACAAAGTAAAATTTACCATTTTTTCACAACAGAAAAAGTACAGGACTTGAAACCCCTTTCCTCTTCATCCCCCTCCCCAAAACAACATTTCCTTCCTTTGAAGAGATATGATGATAAACCATAGCAGACAGAAAAGGATTTCAAAGCTATATGAAGTGTACAGGTTAATGCAAAAGCTCGGAAGTTGTATGGCAAGGATGGGGAATGGACAGACTAGAAGCCAAGAAATGTGAGTAGCTGCTTACAAAATAACATCTGCCACAGATCGTGTGGGCAATTGGTTAAATGATAAGAGTGAAACAGGTCAACAACTCTGAAAATGGAGTTTGCATTGGTAATGACAGATAGTCATGGTCCTACGCATGGTCTGCTGCTCTGAATGCTACTTGGCATTGCATCCTGCCCCAAACTAGGGGGAGGGAAAGGGACAGGAAAAATCCACAATTAACAGAAACAAGTTCTCTGGAAGGAAGAAGTCTGGCAATCTAAGAATTCATCAACTGCTTCCTATGGCAAACAGTGGAACTTGACACATGAGCTAAGAGGGAGGAATGGTAACTCGTTGGCCCAGCTTCTTTTGACTGCGCTGGAAGAAGGGCAATCCTGGCAGTGGTTAAACATTAAAATGTGCAGGCAGCGTGGGTCTTAATCAAGAGATTGTTTTCAGCAGTGTCAGCAATAGCCTGCTTCATTCAGCACAATCTCCTGCTGAGAAATGAGCACCTTCTTCACCACTGTCATGAGCCAACAGTGTTCCCCAAACAGCAGAGCAGAAAGGGCTTTTGATACTCTGGCTTCAGGTTTGCGAGGCACAAGTATTTCTGCTTAGAAAGCAGATTAAATGAACATGTAAGTCCTTATGTTGTGCTTGGGGTTTTCTACACTATTTTACAGCATTAGAACATCTTGTCCTGATTAAATATTTACTTCCTTTCTCCTTTCAAAAAGACAGCTATGATCTTTGCTCATAAAAGTGGTAGAGCAGAGTTACCCAGTGCTTATCAGATCAGAAAGATGGCAAAATGAGAATTCAGGAACTGGGTCTTGGTCTGAGATCTCTGTATATTAAATCAAACTGATGGTCTTTCTGGGATCAGGCTTATATGCTTATAAGCTGTTTTCCCACTCCATTTCACTTTCAGCTTTCAGCCACCGTTACAGTAGTACGGCCACAAACCTCAACCATCCCATTGCACCCTTGCAGGGTCCCCTTTATGTCTCTTTCATGTCTTCCACCTTTTCCATTCTCTCTGAATCCAAAATGACTGTTTTGAGATAACAGGAAATTTGATTAAATTCATGTTAAGGAACATGTGATGCAGAAGAGTAGAAGGTGCTTTCTAGTGACACCACTTTAGCGCTATCTTAAAATTTCATAAAATATTATTTATCAATAACTCGAGAGATTTAACTGTGTCATTTCAGTGACTGGAAGGCTGCAGAGCATCTGTGTGCATGCACATATATTCTTGCTTGCCAAATCTCCTTTCTGGATTAGGGAGATGGGCTGTCATGCCTGATCAGCCTAGACAAGTTATTGAATGACCTCCTCTTTTAACCATGGAGCAGAGAAGAGCGCAGATGACTTCTCTTTTCTGTGATGAAGACAGCTCTAATTAGTGGGGAATTAGTAGCAAAGTTGGGCTCTGAGTGTTGCTGGATAGAGACCAAGACGACTAGCTGGAGCAGGGCTCATTTTATACTTACAAACCTTGGATATTAAAATTAACAATTTCTAGCCCTACCCTTTAGTATATCTTCAATTCAAATTGCATCAGTGTTTGCATTTTAAGTTCAAGTTCAGATGCACCTATAAAACCTTGCTTTTCTCAATAAAGTTTTCAACAATTAGTCCCATTGCAAAAATATCTTGTTCTGTCTCTTTTAGTTCTCCAGGATTCAACACCTTTTAAGATTCATTGCATAAGGAAACTATCCTTAACAGTATTGTCTTTCCATGACATATCTTGAAAGGAAATTTATTCACTGGGAAGATTTGGAAAGAAAAAGTTCATTGTTAAAATATACATTTTCTGGTTTGAATCTAAATACTAAGAACTCTATTGTAAACAGGATCAACAAAAGGAGAAATAAAAGGAAAAAGAGTGTAGAAAAGGTTACAGGAAAACAGAGAAGCAGCAGTCATGCTCAAAAAAATATATACCTTAATCCCTTTTTGGGTAGTGTATTTCTGTCAAGCTGCATGCTGTTAAAACAAAAAAAATCCCTAAGGACATACAGTAAACAGGACTGTTCAGAATTAAAAATTTTAAAGGTCTAGATTTGTGAGCATAACAGAAGGTCATTTAATGCTTTTTAATATATCTTTCATGATAAATCTCTGACTCATAGGAGGGGACAATAGGACATGGACAGCTGCACATTCATTTTTCATCTAGACATGCTCTGGGCTGGGTCAATACTAATTTGGAGAATATCCAAGTCAGAAAGAAGTCCTTCCTTACTATTTCTAACCTTCCTACAGCTTCACCGTGCAATCTGTGCAAGAATCATATGGTCACAGTATGAATCTTTATTTTTCACAGTTGCCTGCGATATGCCAATAGATTTCCGAAAGAAATGAAGGTTGTGACACCTGCTAAGAGACAGCATGGCCTTGCCAGAAGCCAAATGACAGCTCTGCACGTAGAAACACATGCTAAATATACAGATCCTTGGCTTTCTGATGTTGTGGGGCTCACATAGTACGGTGATAGTGAGGACAATGAAAAGTGGCACCAGAGCAACATTGTTCCGTTTTCATGCACACACAGTGGCAGAGTGGCTGATTAGCAGAAATGTATGACTGGAGTTTTCCTAATTCATCACTAGAAGGGCACCTACTAACCTTCCTTCAAGTAAGTGTCCTTTGAGTGTTTTCTCACAAAGATTTGGTAGATCAGTCCCTGACTAGTGCGGGTTGAATTTGAACTAGCTATAACCAAAAAAGTGTTGCAATGATTTTTACCTTAAGAGCATAATTTAATGTCACCATATGGATTAAATTGTTAAATGGCTTTAGGAAGTTTCTGTATTACATATCATAATCACACCTCTGAGAGCAACAGTAATTTAGGACTCTTCCCACCTAAGAAAACTCTCACATCATCACTAAAGTTCATTTTCTATTGTGCCAGGGGTGCTGAGTGCCCCACTGCCGTGTAACTTTGATCCAAGTAGGTAAAGGCAGTGAAAACACTGTTGGCATTAACAATCCATTACCACCAGGGCTCAATCTAATGGAAGTAAACCACTCTTGCCGCTAGCAAGTTTTATAGGCAATTCTACTAGTTTAATCATGGCCTTGTTCTGCATGGGGAGAAGGCAAATGGAAGGAGAAACTTAGAATTTCAACACAGGCCAGCTATCATAGTCCATGTGAGAGTAGTCCTCTATTAGACAGAGGGCTACATTTTCAGCATTTTGCTCCCAACATAATTAACAAGACCAAGAACGGTTGGTAAAGAGACAACACAAATGTGAATGCATGATTCATGTATGTTTTCAGTTCCTTACAGAGAATAATGGGACCTTGATGTTCCTTCATGTACCTTCATGCACCTCTAAATTTCAAAACAAACACACATGATCATAACATCACTTTCTTCTGCAAATCCTTCAAACATTCTAATGAACAACACATTTTCTAATATTACTTTAACTTGAAGTTCTATGTATTTCAAAACAATCTACAGCACATTATCTAAAAATCAAAGGAGCCAACCAGTGCTCCTTTAAAGCAATCCACAAGTCAAAAGTTATGTCAGTCAGATAAATAAGCTAATAGTGACCATAGGATTTTGCTAAAAAACTTTTGAATTCAGATACTGAAATGAAATAGGGATGACTATTTCTCAACATGAGAAGTCAGCATGGAGCTATTGCAACTGCATAAAAGTGAATGTAGCAAACATTCTTGTGAAGATGCTCTTAGATTTCAGATAATTGCATGAAATCATTAACCAGGGTTCCATGTAACTATTACTTCAGACCAATAACTGCCAATATCTTTTTATTATCTGAAAGCGTTCCTCCACCAAAAGCTGGGTATATTACTTCTACAGAAACTGGACTTTTGGTAAATAGGACTGAACTGATCTCAGTGCTCAAAAGATCTCTAAAGATGATACGGAAAAGAGTCAGTCCTTGAAAGAAGCAACGCACACATGGAAATCTGTCTCTTCGGCTCAAAACAAATACTAATATAAAATGAGGATGAGAATATCATAGTATTCCTGATATTTTCCTTTGCTGTGTCAATTGAAAAGAGCAGTCTTGCAGGGAAATGCATGCAGATGTAGGCTGAAGTTATCAAGCCCACTCTTATCTCCATTCCCTTTTGTTCACTTTGCACTGTTGAAACCGTCTGCAAGTTCTCCGAGGGAAATTACGCGAAGCCTTACAGTTCCCAGTTTCCTAGCTGCCCTCTATGTTGAGGTTAACTTGGGAAAAGATAAAATACAAGCGTCTTCCCACACAGAGAGTCACGCTGCTATGACACAGAAGTAGACTCATCTAAATACATACTGCTAGCTCAAAACCAACAAAAAGTAGAGGGAGATGAAAATTTTGCCAAAAAAGCAAATATTTTGCTAGTATTTACTGAACTTATTTTCTGGCTATTACAATGCAAAAGAATCTCATCCAATGACACAAAATTTGTCTGGAGTAAACTTTGACGCTGTATCAATACAGCAGTTGCCAGGGAGCTCTGTGTTTATGCCATACCATTGCTTGGTGGGTAGCCTGAAGACTGGGTGTGGGCAAGACCTGATCGTCCCTGGAGGGATGTGTGGGCAAATGTAGCAGAAAACTTGCAGATTTACTGTCTCCATGGCAGGTGACTGCTTTTTTGGAGGCAGTCAAGGGCTACTCTCCTTAAGCAGGAAACATAAACGTACCCTGAGATTTTGGTCTCATTTTCTGGGTGCTGTCTAGTTGCATCAAATTTTTCCTAAAATTTCATGTCTCAAAGTCTTTCAGTTAAAGCCTTAACATGAAAAAGTAGAACGGGATAACTACTTTCTAAGACTTACATGTGATACTTTCATTTTCAAAATACTGGAAAAATGCTTCAACTCAGCAATGGCATTACAACCCCTTAGACACTGGCTGCTTTCTGAAAAACAGCCTCATCATTTTCCATTTTGTATATGTTCAAATATATCCCGTCCTGTTACAGCCCTTCAGGCTAATAAACCATTGACGACTAGTCTTCGGTAACTCTTTACCAACTGCTCAAGCACCTAACTTTATTTCTCTCATTTTTTTTATGAGAATGTTATTTGAAATAGCACCTAAACCTTTACTAAATTCAGGATTTCCTGTTGTATCTACTAATTCTTTTCCTCTTCTCACAAAGCCTGTTTTCCTGAAAATTAATTAAATTAGTCTTATTTAGAAGGCCGTTACTGACTAATCCCATGTTATCTGTTAATTAACCCGTTTAGTTCAATATCCTCTGTAACTTTCCAGGAACGGAGGCAAGGTGGTCTCACCTCTAATCCCCTCATCCCCCATCCCAGCCCTCCTCCTCCTCACTCCTTCCTCAGTAAAGACCCTTTGAAACCTCTTCTTCAGTCCTAACGACTGCAGGGCTATTTCAGACTGTGTCTGAAGCGGGGAAGTGAAAAGTTCATCAGGACCAGTAAACTGGAGTAATCTTTAACCTTTTCATTCTCCCTTATCCAGCTTGCCATTAGTGATGTTTAGCTATCAAGTTGCAGTTAATGCTTCAGTGAAGCAAACCCATATTTAGTTATATCCTCTATTATTAGCTCTGTCTTCCCTTTCAGTTGTCCCTAGGCTTTGTCTGCATAGGCTTTATGTCGCTTGCTACTTGTATCATGTTTCATGCTTTGCTCTTTCTGATTCTGTCTCCACGTTATATTAGTATATCTTACTATACAGACTGCTCATTCAGTCTTTTGCAAGCTCTAGAGTGACTGAAAAACAAGAATAATCCTCTTTGCAGATAATTTCTTATGCCATGCCAGGCTACAACTAGTATTGCCAGAGGCATCTCAAACATCATCTGAGTTTACAAAGGAAAAAGGACATAATCTGTTGCCAAGCATATCTGTTTCTGACATTGCAAACTAATGTTTTTGTTATGTAAAAAAAAATTTTGCTACATGTAGGTTTTACCATATAAAACAATTTAGAAATAACACAGCACTTGTAACAGACCTTTCAGAAAAATCAAACTGCAAAAACCCTGTTGGGGCTATAATTCAAGAACTGACACCATTTCTCTAGGTACATATATTTGTTTTGAGGCCAGATCAACATGATAAATGGCTCTCTTTGGACTCAATCATAATATCCCCATATGGACAAATCTGAAACTTCAAAATGTTACCAAAGGCAAAGTATTTGAAACCACTGAAAGTAAGTCACTGAACAAATACATAAAGTATTAGCAGTGGGGGTTGCTCAGGAGCTTAAGCCAAACCATTAACATTTTAACTGTGATGTTTAACATCCTCTGTATAAATATGTTCTTTGGCATAAATTCATACTCTTCCACATCATTCTATTGACTTCATTATCCATATATGTAGCGCTAAAAATTAGTGAAGGTTTTTATAACCTAAATATTAACTTCCTAAGAAATATCGTCACATTCAGTTAATGGCACACAATTCAAATTACGATTTAAAAATTAAAGGCACAGTGCAAATTACAAATTACTCATGTATCAGCATATTTTTAACTACTGTTGTTAGCATACATTATATTGGTACACACATATGTTTTATAGTTGTAATCATATTACGAAGAGGTGTGATTTTAGCTGATATAGTAATACGAATGTAACATTAGAGAATGAAATGTGTGGAGAGTTTCCATCTAGATTTGGCAAAGAGTTGTTCAAAGTTTTGGTTTTGTTTGGTTTTTTTTTTTAATGCTGATTCACTGAAAGTGAAATCTTTCCATGGAAAGTGTTGGTATTGAAAAACCTCTGGGTTTATATAAAGGGAAAAAAAAATCTTAACATTGTATATAAAAGATCTTTTTTGATTTAAATGATCGTGTTGTTAAACAACTAAGTTTAACCTTAAAACATTTAAAATATTTCTGACTGACTCAGTATCATTTTCTTTTTGGGATCAAAGGCTAACGCAATATTTAACACTGACTTTTCAGTCCACATGTGAAATAAGAGTTTCATTGTCAAATCTTGAAAATTTTCACAGGAAGTGAAAATTACTTATTGCCTAACAAAGTTTATTTTTTCTTTTTTGCAAAAGTCAAATAAATATTTCACACATACACAAAAAAAAAAAAAGAAAAAAGAAAATAATCATGGTACAAGTGTGCCAGGGTGGATGCACCACTTTAAAATGTAAAAAAAAAAAAGGTAAATTGTCCACATCTTAAAAAGAGCAAGCAGAGGAAAACTCTTTCTTGCTTTTGTTTGTCTGTTCCAGACACTCAGCAGGACTGTGCATACAGTGAGGGTCTCATCTTGTAAACTGCCACCCTGTCAGTGGAACTGCATTTTAGTAAGGATCTGTGTGATGATCACCATGTAAGAAGCAACTTGTCAGGACTGGGCATTTTAAGGCAAGATTGGTCAGTGGAAGGCAGAGGCCCACCAGCTCTGCCTCTGAGCTAACGGGAAGAAAATTGGTGAGGTCTCAGTACTGGAGAAGATTTGTTAGCAAGAGGGCAGTGATACAGCTTCGGAGCTGCCAGTTGCTGGGACAGCAGGTAGATCCAGCATATAGGAATCATTATATGGCTGTTTAGATTTGACTTTAATTAGACAATGTTCTCCTTTTCTCTGGTTGTTTGCCAGAACAAGGGAACCAAAAAGAGAAAAAGTGCTTGCAGAACCTTAAACGGCAGTTGATTCCACATCCAATGCCTTTCAGCTTTCTTTTCTTCCTTCCTTGCTTTTTTACAGAAAGGACTAAGCTGCTAATCAAATGGCACCCCCTTAGGAAAACAGGTGGAGGGGTTATTTTTTTTTTGGCTCCTGTCCTTTTGCCTCTCACTGGTTTCGTGGTCACTGTATCTATAGGCAAGCTCACCTTTCCGAAAGAGTAGATCTGACGCTTCCAGTCCTCATGAGCAGGCTCTGAACCTCCTGAGTGCTTGTTGTCAGTCCAGAGAGAGAGCCATGATGGCTAAGAGGAAGGTCAATAGACTCGGAACTGGTGTGAAGGCTAGTCATGGACTGGTAACTTGGTGTGTCCTTACTGCCCGCTGAAGAGCTGCTCAGGTTTGCAGCCCACACAAGACCACCTGATGTGAAAGAGTGCACTGAGGCGGGACTGGAAGCCAAGGAGTGACTTAAGCTTACAACATCTGCATTTAAGTCCGAAGGTTTACTGAAGAGGGGGCTGCTGCTACCACTTTGCCCACCTGCACTGCCCATGCTGCCTGTGCCCGAGGATGGCGATTCCAGGCTGCCTTGCCGTGCCAATGTGGTACTAGGGCTGGGCATTGCCGATGTGGGTTTCACACCTTCAGTACTGGGTGCAGAGGCAGCTTTACCACTTGCCTTGGCACCAAACAACCTAAATGTAAAACAAATAGCTTTAGAGAAACTGATAGCCACATAAAACATTCATGGCGTAACATCCTAAGAGCCAAACTACACATTTTTAATTACTGCTACTAAAATCATGCCTACCTCGTTGATCAATCGCATCACAAAATTAAATTCACTTAACCATAGCACAATAATGAGGGTTTGTTTCATTAGCAAGAGCTCTCATTCACTCCTGTTCAGATGTGCTCTTTGCACATACAGACTCTCCCAGAAAGAAGTAAAATAATCACACTTTTGTCTTATTAGTGCATAAACAGATTACACTTTCACCCAAATTCAGGAATTAAGCGTTCCCACGGCTAAGTCATTAGCTTTTAAACCCCTCGCTTCTCAAATCAGCTAAAACGATTGCAACAAACACTTGCAAAATCCTTCACAGTTTAATAAACATCTAAGTATTTGTGTAAAATTTCCTTCTTATTGTTCTTTTGCACAGATGGTCATGCAGTCATTGGTCATGTAGTAACCATTTAGACAGAATAAACTGCACCAGAGCTAAATGGGCTCAGTTTGCCTCCAAGGGCAGTCATGACAGAGGTGTCTTTCACATAATTGCTTCTAGTAATTCTATAGAAGAAAATTCTACAGTGATGATGGAAAAAAACCCCACCCAAATGCTCTAAAACTGTGGAAATAAAAGGTCATGTGATGGTTTAATGTCTTACTGGAAATATTTTAAGCTACAGTTAAGATGCAGCTCATAAATTACGAAGAAATTAATGCAAAACTTATCGTGATGTAAAGTAAGTATTGCTAATAACATAAGAATCCGTTTTACTTATTACCAAGCCCATGAAAATCAGCTGCAGCTCCCCAGCAGCCCGGAGATGCTGTTTTTGTAACTAGGCACAAGAGGGCACTATTGGCTTTTTCTCCAACAGTGCAAGCGTTCCATCCCAATTTATCCTTCATCCAGATTTACACGTCCAGAAACATTACAACGGGGCATTTCCAGCTGAAGTTTAGCTTTGCTAACGTTTGCGATGAAAGATGTAGAAGAGCTGCTAAGATAATGTAATGCTTGCAGCTGGAGCTGCCAACAAAGTGAAAGCAAATACTTTATTTATCTATAGAGCTCTTCAGTTCTCTGACGGGGCTTTGGAATCGCCTGTTCCAGTAACAGTACGCGCCGAACGTGGCATCCTTCTTCCCTTTGGGGGTTTATTAGAGTATTGAGAGGGAACTTCTCATGTGCCTCAATATTCAATAAGAACTCAGAATTATAGAATATCTCAAGTCAGAAAGGATCCATAAGGATCATCGAGTCCAACTTATTCTAGCCTTCAAACTGTTGTTAAGGGAATGTACTTGCAACGCTCAAAGGCCAAGAAACAGCCATTTCAGGTCTGGTGAGGTCTTTAAAGCCTTAGAGAAATAATTTCATTGTGTGAAAATATATTACCCTTATATTTGTTTTAAATTTGGTTCTCTGTTTGTGGCAAAACATGCCCTGAAAAGGCTTTTTGCCCAGTGCTTCAACACATTGAAAATCCTTGCTTTATACACTGCAACTTCAGGAATTCATAGAAAAGCACTAACCTTCGAAAGGTGGGTGACGCGATATCTGGGTATTTGGATCCTGGCTGCCTAAGTCCCGGCGTGCCAGAGGCACTCGCCGATGTTGGGCTGGATTTGGGGGAACTGGATAGCGAAACACTCTCGGAATCGGACACGGCCACTTTCTCTTTTTCCTTGTCTGTCTGGTTGACGGTGACAGGGCTGGACCGCCCGGACCCAATCTTGCTTGGCTCTCGCAGTTTGGTGGCAGCAGCACCCGCAGACTTGCTGCTGACGTTGGAGTCGATGCTGCTGGTGCTGGAGCGGTGGCCACCCCTGCCAGGGATCCCGCTGCCACTAGATTTTGATGGGCGAGGCAAACTTCGATACTGCAGAGTCGTCTTCGAGTTCACGTGCAGGACGCCGTCATCCTGATTCTGGGAACCGTCTAAGCTCGTCTTCCGCCCTGCATTGGACTTCCCGCTGATGGCTGAAGATTTTGGCATTTTTCCTAGAGTCGCTGACCCACTTGTGATAGTTGCTCCACTTGCGGTGATTATGGTAGAAGATCCCATGCCAGACTTCTTGAATCCAAAGGACCCTGTAGCAGTTGATCTCCCAATGCCAGAGGGAGGCTTTTTTCCTTCATCACCACTGCTTTTTCCTGCATCCGATGGAGAGCGCTGAATGGAGGCTCCTTTCAGGGGAGTTTTTACTTTTTCTGAAGCTTTTGCATCATCTGTTTTTCCTAAATAAAAGTATATTTGACAAGGTCACTTGTGTTTAAGCCATAATGTCTGAATATCTAATTTTAACATTATATGGTTACAATTTCAAAATGAAAAAATACACAAACAGAAAAATTACCCTAAGAAAACAGATTAATTTAGTCTTTAGTCCCACATCAGCAGTCAGTAGCAGGTAAGATAATTTACAGGTAAGCACTAAGTATTAAAAGCTTGAAACTCTCCTGAGAACTTCCAGTTTCATATATAGCTGGAGACCATAAATGTAAACAATTATCCTGACTGAAGTATTTTATTTGGCTTTTTTTCCCCTGTTAATATTATTTCTATATGTAAGGAATAATATTTGAAAATAAAACATGACATACAATTAACATTTTCAGAAGTATGATATCAATTATGCATATAGAAATTAATGGTACTTATTGAGTTCTTTGGTTTTCACTGATTATATATTTTTTTAACCTTATAACTAAGTTTGTTCTGTCTTTAGTCATACAAAATTATCAGGGAAAGATTATGTTATCATGTTATGAATCTTCTTGATCTATATGATATCAATTGCATGAGTTAACAGTCTTTGTCATATCCTTGATATCTTTTCAAGATTTTTAATTTTCTGAGAGGCTGTCTTCAGTACTGCACAGACACATACCCATATATTTCTACATAATGTTACTGTGACGTTCAGAAAAGTTTAAATAAGATATTCCCTTCTATCTTAAAAGAAAATATCCTCTTCCTCTTTTACAAACAGACGAAAAAATGCCATTTCTCTTCTGTTCTAATTTCTCTTTAAGCATCTATTGTACGCTCCTAATAAGGAGCAAATATTCAGCATAACAAATTTTTTAATTCACTCTTCAAGTGATTATGGAAGTTTCGGAGGTGGGTGGCTAATTTCTCTTAAGGAACTAAACTAAACTAAACTTAATAAAGAGCAACATCTACAAGTCAGAACTAAATCCACTCATGTTTTGATCCTGTGCACATTTTATGCTACGCAAACACATGCACACACCAAGATATGGATCAGGCTCCCTACACAGCGAATACACAGACTATTAGTATATGCTTTAAAAATTAAGGACGCAGTTCTGCGTTGGGCGGTGGCTGATTGCTCATCTTCAGCAAAACAGACCTGGGAAACTTAGCTCAGCATGTGGTAAACCTTTTAGTATTTCCATTTTAAATTAAGGGTGTCATTTCTGCATCCATATGACCACTGACCATGGCAATGCTCCTCAGAGACCTTATAGATCAAAGAAAAAGGATTTGAATTTATTCTGAGGAGATCTTTGTTAGTTGCCTTTACCACCAGGGGCTAAAGCATGCTCATGCAGTATTTTGTCAGGACATGACAAAGGTCCAGAAAACGTCCTACAAATAATCAGTATTTCCCTAGTAAAATGATAGCTTAGATGGTCTTAACAATGCCTTCCACCAACTTTGGAATTTTTGCTTCAAGACTAGATTGCAAAAGTGGTTCCTACTTTTGAGAGGCCTTTCAAAATCAAGTAAGAAGTCATCTGGCACTGAAGAAAGTGTGTAAAAAGATATTTTTTACACTTTTTATCTCTTAAAGAATGGTCTATAGAATGCAGCATCTGGAATGTGACAATTCAGCTTTAGTTCAGAAACACTCATTTTGAGTCCCCTCACTTAGATGTTAAGCCTTTTTATCTCAATTTCTATTCTTTAGCTATTTCTATACAAATGTTCAATTATCAAAGGTACAGCCTTTCTAGAGAACAAAGATAAGGCAGTGAGGTGTCCAAAAATACTTTTAAGAATTCCTTAATAGAAGTGGACATGCTCAAATAATAGTAAACCAAAATGTAATCTCATGGATATATTCATGTGTGGTTAATAAATTATTAGTATGCAGTGAAGCAAACTAGCAGTTACAGAGATGAACAAGTTAGAATATTACAACAATCTTGGCTTGCAGTCAATTATGAGGACGAACCACCAATATGCTCACAGCTCCTGATGTCTGTCACACACTTATAATATTCATTAAGTATTTTTAGCTCACTAAAGATTCCTTATTGCTTATGAATGAAGTCTAAGTATGAAGCCTGAATTTTCAGTGCTGTAATCTGAACTACAGACATTTCCTACCCGGGGTCTTGAGCGCACTTGTTCCTGCTTTGTGCCGGGGCTGAGTTGTTCCTACTTGTGCCGTCATGCCTCTCCTCCAGGATCCAGTCTGTGAAACAGAGAGAGGGGTTTTCTGCCCCCCCTTCTCTGACTCTTCAGACAGCCCTGAGGGAAGGCCTTTCCACTTGCCGCTGCTGTCTACGCTGCTGTCAAAGTCTTCCTCTGGTTTCTTCAGTTCTTCAGTGCTGCCCCAAGTTTCGCTGTCTGTAACCGAGCGCTTCTCAGAGTCCGTCTTCAGCTACAAGAGATTTGCACGAGAAACGGTCAGTCTCAGCATCTTCAGTATTTGCTGATTTCTTAAATCACAGAAGGGGAGGAGGATAAGCATATTGATTCACTCATAGCAAGGGCCACAGAAATTTCCCTTCTAAAACCTTAGTATCCTGGTCCCAGAAGTTTAAAAACATTTCCATTTTGGGAAGACATTTTTCTTTTTTATTTTATTTTCAAAAGATTTCGACTCTCTCCTGCATAGATAAGCCATAATGAAGTGAAACATAATTTATTCTAATCATCTGTGGTAATACCCTCACCACTCCTCAACTCCCTCTGAATTTCACTGTCTTGAGAGGTTTTACTAAAAGCTTGAATGAGGGAAATCCTAAATATACTACTAAAATCACTTCAGTCTGGTTTCATACCTTTTCCTACCCAAGCTTTCCACTGATCAAATTAGGAATATTGCTCCAGCAGCACTAAGGATGTTGTGCCACCACTGGGACAGGGTAACATCTTCAGCAAAATTCAGTGCTACAGCCGATGGCTTTTCTACTGGTTTGTCTCCACTGAAACAAATTGTTTCCAACAAGAAACTCACTCATACAATACATCAGCTAGCAGAGCAGCTAGAAGAGTGGCTTACACAGGCACTACCCACTAGTGGGGTGAAGGTAACCAGCTGGGGTCATGCTTGCTCCAAAACTCAGACTCACGAAGAAGATGTCCCAGTGAAGACTTAACACCCCTGCAGCATCTGCTTTCCCTGGTGTGTGCTGATAAGCATGTGCTGCAAGGAGCAGCCCAACAAGACAGACAATGTAGGAGCTGTGAAAGTGGTTTAAATAGAACGGTTGGAGACTGACCCTACCCTCTGTGTTTGACAAGGCTCACGTTCTTTGTGCTGACAGGCTGCTTGCTGTAACCCTTCCTCCTGTGTTCTCCTGCAGCATGCTGACCTCAGCCTCAAGCCTTATTTGCACAACACCATCTCAGCAGTCCTGCTTCCCTCTGCCCCTCTTTAACAGCAAAAGAATGGACCTGCTCGCAGGTAACACTCTTCATCACTTTTTTCTGATGTAACCACAGTCCTACCCGCATACAGCCAACCTAAGTGGAACTGCAAACTGGACGGCATTTGGGGGAGGGCTATTTACTATTTGTGTTGTCACAACTGCTTCTCCACAGTGTGGAGAAACCCCTCTGTGGCTGTTTTCTAGGCACTGCTGTCCTAAGTAGGATTAATACTGATTAGATGACCATCAGAATAATCCGTTGCAGTTTATGTATTTGTCATATGAAGCATACAAAATGCAAAAACTCTCTGTCCTTCTATAATTTCATATGTGCTTTGGAGAGGCTAGCACAGATTTTGGGTAAAGACTGGTGGGAAAAGACCCCAAGCAGACATCTACACAAATATTTCAGGATCCTTCAGAAGAGAGTTTTCATTGGTGTTATTGTTATAACACGTGTAATGCTCCCAGAACTTTTCTCATAAATGAATAGTTATAAACACAGAGCTATACATTTTTAAAGCAAACTGCATAATTTCCAAGAAATGACATGTATAATACATTATAAAAGCCTCTCGTCACCATGATGGGAGTCGAAAAGCAATGTTAATCCTCTTTTAATAAGAAAACAACAACAAAATACACAATTTGTGCCTCAGGCTATAGCCAGCTTGCACTGCTCCAGTCACTTAAAAAGACTGCAAAAGAGATCTCTGCGTTGCACGAGTATGTCCTACACCTGCAGAACAGCTGGCCCAAAACTTATATATAATGCTTATCTCAGCTTCTGGCTGAGATTGCAGGCTAGTATGGAATATACTGCCTTCTGATTAATCTGCCTGGTAAAGGCAGACCTGATAAAGGTCTGTTCCTAGCTTTCAGAATATAAAGCACCTCTGGCACAAAAGCAATGTTTGATCATGTGCTGCATCTCTGTCGATCACTGAACAAATTGCGAATAGTATCTGGTTGACTCTCTAGAACATGAAATCACTCAAATAAAAAACCCATGAAGAGTTAAACAGTCAGCCTGAGGTTCTCCAATCATGATGATGATGATGATACAGTAGAACAAGTAAGCCAGGACTAGCCGGCCATCACTGTTGATGTGAAAGGGAAGAGGCTGATATCTGGTTAGCAACCACAGGAGACCCTGATGGGGTGGGAAAGACAATGGTAAGGACTGAAGAATGTGGATCTCTGTGCAAGTACCTTCGCATGAGTACGACATCAGCCTGAAATCTCTCCTGCTGCAAATTAAAGTGATCTTCATTTCCAAAGTAACTTTATTTCCCCATTGTCTGGAGGAAATGACAAATATGTGTTTTTCTCCTGTTGACAAGGTCTGGCACAATGTACATCTACAAAACAGATCTCTGAATTACAGGCACTGGCTGCCTGCAGGAGTATAAATGGAATTGAGAGTGTCAGTCTTGTGTCCTGAATACTTGACATCAAATCACTGGAGGCAACA